GTTGTTGGCAACCCCTGTGTTACACTCCAATCGGACACAGAATTTCAAGTATTGCATAACGGATTGCAATCCCAAAAACTAGTTTATCAAACCGACAAACGAAAGCATTGCTATTTTCCATCAATACAAATACAAATTAAACAAATATTCTTCAAAAATATTTGTCTGAAAATTAAATTTATAAAAACTATGCAGACATTAGGAACAGACACTATCTGTTATTAACGGCTACTCAGACGCAATGTCTATTAAATTGTTTTGATTTGATTTGTCTGAACATAAACTCAAGAATTTCTAATTATGAATATAGGCCTAAAAATGATTATAAAGTGTGAGAATACCTGTAAAAAGTATAATCTTTTTAAGTGAACTCCTATCGACACTATATTATAGATTGAAAATTAAGATTCTAAATATAGATCGAGTTTATAGTTTATTTAATAAGTTTAAGTCAATTGTAATAATTTTATTGCAAGAATAAGTTAACAAAATATTAAGATTTCGAAAATAGATATACAGTCCGTCCATAAAAAGAAGCCATTAGTATATCATTTAGATTTGAATCACAATTCACTCCATAAATGAGTGCATTTTCATCATCTGTTGTGTCCGATGGCTGTAAAGTCTGATCCAATTGGCCATCAATAAGCAGATGAGCGCCTGAGTACATGCCGGACACTAATTGTCTGTTGGAATAGCCAGGCCTTAAGATGACTCTCCAGATACCACTGCCTGAGATGTGCAGCTTATGCTTAAGACTAACATTGATTTGGCACTCATTTGACGTCAATTGCACCGAATAATAGCGAATCCATTCGTCATAAGAGCCCACAATTAGTGACAATATATTGTCTGAACATTCATTGGATGCAAAGCAAGTGATACCGGCGTTTGAGTCCCGGTTCACGTACTTCGGCGCCAAAGCTGACAACAACTCCGATGACATGGATTGTGGCAAACAATAGACTCTCCAAAGAGAGTCATCGGATCCGACAAACAAAACATAGTTATCACTAATGATGGCACAGAGTAGTGTCCAAATGGGTTCACAAGACTTGGTGACAGATAAATGAGTTGTCGTTTGCGATGACATGTCCACAAACACTAGCCTCCCATCAGAGTTGCCCACAATTGTGTGGTTCACGTGAGTTGTGGCCAAACAGGTCAACAGCGAACAGTTGGTCCCATATCTGGTCACGGATTGCAACCTTACGATGACATGTCCACAAACACTAGCCTCCCATCAGAGTTGCCCACAATTGTGTGGTTCACGTGAGTTGTGGCCAAACAGGTCAACAGCGAACAGTTGGTCCCATATCTGGTCACGGATTGCAACCTTAGGGAGCAATCGATCCGATAAATGGCCACAAATCCGTTGGAGTGACACACGAGGGCACAGTCGCCCACACCATCCCATGGGATCAGTTTGAGGTCAAAGACACCGCCATCGAAGCACTCGTGCTCTTCAACCATACGGTTATCTCTTGTGATAAGCAATAGATTCCCGAAACGATTGTTCACTCTCTTGAGGGTGTCTTTCAGTGTGTCATCGATGGTGTCACCGATGGTGTCACCGGCCGATTGGTCTTCGTGTAAGTGATACGTACCACAAATGAACACATCATATGCGGAGGAATACTCAATGACCGATGGATTGTATTTTGTGGTTAATTTGCTTTTGTATTCATAACTCATGTTTCGATATAAATGTCAATTCGTGTCCAAAACTATTCACGCAATCAATGAGTGCTTTCATTCATAAACATGTGATTCAATGCATAAACATATGATTTATGAATGAGTGACACATTTGTGGGCAATAGAGGGCTCACTAGTCGTGAGTTTTGTTATTTTGCAGACATTTAATGAAACGTTTGTTGAAAAACGCATTCAAATTGAATTCATTTGTAAATCAATTATTTGTTTGAATTTAACGTCAATTTGTGTTAAATTTATTAGAAATACAAATACGAGTGAAATGTCTGACGATAAGAGAGCGGAACGGATGAAGAGATTGCGTGAATTGCATCAGAAGAGGGTTTGTATTGGCGTTACAGCCGTTGCCATGAATTGGTCACTCATTTGATGCCATTATCTTCACTACAGACGGAAGCGAGTCGTTTGAACCATAAAGAAGTGGTCGAAGAAAATAAGAGACAACAACTGCCCAACAATTGGGAGAAGAGGCAAGAGTTGGCTGAATATCGTCTGAACGAAGAGGTGTCCAAACAGAGAGCCAAAGAGTCGGGTGAAGACTATGAGCGGAACAAACTGCTGGACATTCAGGCGGACGACTCGGAGCGGTGGCACCGGAAACGGGACGCCAAACACAATCCCGACCCCGGCTTCAGCGACTACGAGGCGGCCACCGCTCGACAGTACCAGAGACTCA